GGAGGAGGAGGCGGAGGAGGAGCAGCAGGAGGAGGAAGATGAAATGAACACAACTATGGGAAGACAGGAGCATGACGAGAGGAACACAAAACAGAGAGAATATGGGCAGGAGGAGGAGGAGGAGAAGGAGAAGGAGCAGGAGGAGGAAGATGAAATGAACACAACTATGGGAAGACAGGAGCATGACGAGAGGAACACAAAACAGATAGAAGATGGCCAGGAGCAGGAGGAGAAGCAGCAGCAGGAGGAGGAGGAAGATCGAATGAATACAGCTATGGAAAGACAGGAGCATGAGGAGACCGACACAACACAGAGAGAAGATGGCAAGGAGGAGGAGGAGGAGGAGGAGCAGCAGGAGGAGGAGGAAGATGAAATGAACACAACTATGGGAAGACAGGAGCATGACGAGAGGAACACAAAACGGATAGAATATGGCCAGAAGGAGGAGGAGGAGGAAGATGAAATGAACACAACTTTGGGAAGACACGAGCATGCCGAGAGGAACACAAAACAGATAGAAGATGGCCAGGAGCAGGAGGAGGAGGAAGATCAAATGAATACAGCTATGGAAAAACAGGAGCATGACGAGACCGACACAACACAGAGAGAAGATGGCAAGGAGGAGGAGGAGGAGGAGGAGGAAGAGGAAGAGTAAGAGAAAGATAGCGCCATGATGGAGGAGGAGGAAGAGAAAGCAATGATGGAGAAGGAGGAAGAGAATGCAAGGATGGACAAGGAGGAAAAGATTGAGTGTATGTTAGAAAAGGATATGACAGGGCAGATCAAAGAGGCAGAAAGAATGAAAGTGACATTCCCAAGGGCTCAGTCCTCAGGAGAATCGGAGCGATCTCCTTCATCAGCGAAACGATGGCAGCCCCCTGTCACGGAAGATGATCAAGATGATGAGTATGATGGGCCATTGAGGACCATCGAGCCAAATTTGCTCGGGAAGGACAATCCAACCACTCAAGGGGATAACATCGATCTGAACAGCCTAGATTAGAAGAAAGTGAACAGTACTAATATAGTCAACCATGAAAGGGGGGGCGGGGGGGGAGGTCAGCCATGATTGGTGGTGCGACAGAAAGCAGAAAAAGAAAGCAACCTGTGTTAAATCTGTCTCTTATACACATCTAGATGTGTATAAGAGACAGGTAGTATGTCTCTTGATACAGAAAGCAGAAAAAGAAAGCAACCTGTGTTAAATTCCGGGCCGCCCGGCGGCCCAGCCTCCGTCCGGCAGGGGTCCCGGGCGGCCCGGCCGGTTGGGTCCCCCGGTTGTATGCCG